ATTGGCTGCACAGACTGTTGTTTCTATGGGCAGCCCCTTATGTCCTTTATTCTCCAAAGTTTACATAACTCATATCTAAAACAAACTATTTAATGAATTTAATAAACCCACTATATATGTAGATATGTATACAATGATGATTATATCATGATTATAACCTTGTATAATATACAATATGACTTTTAATTGCTGTGAAATTTACGAAGACAGGTATTTCTGTATGTTAACCCTGTATACTTCTCTTTAGAATATAGATCTAGATCGTCACTACGCTAGATGTTGTTGCTGTTGTTTTTCATAGAAAATAGATTTTTAGTGGGTAAAGTTGTTTGTCTCCTTTTAAATTTGGACTTGTCCTTATCCAAAACTGATTGCCGCTCATTGCTAAAGGACATAGTCTGTTGAGCTGCTGGGAGGGAGAAGAAATGGAGTCATAATTTTCCAAAGGTTTTTTTGTGCGAAAGTGAACGCCACGGTCTCGAGTGGAATTTTAAATCGGCATGCCAATCATATAAACTCTATAAACCGATAAATGCTACACCAGGCGCATGTCCAAATACAGGTAAACTTCGATAATATTAGACCATCGCAATATTAAAGTGAATATCATAATAAAGAGAATCACTTCGAATTTTTGGTTTTTCAGTGCATATAAAAGTCATGTTAACACTTTATATTAGTTTATTTAGTATTCAATAGTATTAGGTCTAAAAACAATGAATACACTAATTAATAACTCTTGATTGCTATCAAAATGTGACAGAGACACGAATTGAGTAGTAGACAAAAATGGCGCCGATCGATTTGCCTGACACAGGGTCGCTATAACCATTAAAAAAAAAAGCAAAAAAAAAAAAAACAAAACAAAAAAACAACAACAATATTTGCGAAACGGAATAAAACAAAGTATGCCTGTATTGGTTGAATTAGAATTTTTCTTCTCTCGGGTAAAATTGTGGTAGCGAGTGTCACTGACTGAACATTAGATTTCATATTTCATAGATGGCCAACTGTAAGCCTATACACTACTGCCGAGCTTGAGCAAAAACTTCCTCTCAAAACAAAACAAAAATAAAATCCAGCGAAAATATAAATAAATAAAAATATAAATAAAAATAAACAAATAAAAAAAACGAAAAAAAAAAAAAAATAGGTAAAATAAATAAGTGGTTAAATAAAAACAACGCCATGCAGAAATATATAATTACTAGTTCAGAGGAACCTTCGCAAACAATACATACCCCCCCCATTCAAAATTGCAAAGAAATATTTGTACAGAGTGGATAAAGGTGAATTATTGGCACAGAATCAAACAGGACTTCTATTAATCTACACCTGCCTCTAAGCGTCGGATTTCTCTTTATTCTTGTGTTTTTTCCCCATTTGTTATTGGCAAAAAGAAAACCAGGCTAATGTTACACATGAAAAAAAATTGGCGGGAATCAGATGACTGTCGCTTAATCAGTTCCCGCCACAATAGAAACCACATTACCTTTTATAAGCGTTTTCTAACCCCAGCTTCAGAGAATGTTTAATTGAATCTATTAGTTTAGAGAATGGATTTACAAATACATCATCGTCACATCTTTAATATTCTGCTTTTTTTTTGTATCTATCTTAATGTTTGGTAGGCCGCACTTTTACGACCTGCAATTCGCATCCCTCGCAAATAAATATATCTACACAACAGTTTCTAAATTTTAATACTATGCATATTTTTACATACCTGCAAATATCTGTAAATGTATTTTAATATATTCGATCTAATAAATATATTAGACGTATTCGAATAAAAAAAATTTCACGATCAAGTCACGTGAATTTAAGTATACGTGTAATTTATTGATTTTTTTTAATGATAAGTGTATATAAAAGAGAACATTTAATCAATAATACGCATTTGAGGAAATCGGCTATGGGAATTTTGATATTTAGCCATCCAAAATAATTTTTGAATTAATGTGGTTCAAAAATATATTGGTGTTGCGTAATGGTATTCATTGCATTTGATGCGTTTTGCAAAATGGATGTCAGTTATCAGTTATTTCCTGTTAATTCCCCTCTCAAGGACACATGGCACAGTGAATAAATGTGTTAGTTAGATCCAGTGACAGGACCCAAAGAGTGTGAGTTCAATACCCGGTTAAGGCAGTGGCGAAATTGGAGAGGGGAATTAACAGGAGATAACTGAGAACTGACATCCATTAATAATGGCACGTGGAACTAGAACAGTCTACCCCAGTGAGCGAAATAAAGGGTTCAGTTCGACATTCCAACCACTTGAAGAAGGCCGGAGCGTACAACGGCCGAAACGTTGTAATAAATATGGCGACAAAGATGAGGACAATAGTCCCAATAACGTAAATAGTGTACATAATACCTCATCTCAGAAATATAGACAGATACTGAACGGCCGAAACGTTGTAATAAATATGGCGACAAAGATGAGGACAATAGTCCCAGTAATGTAAATACTGTACATAATACCTCATCTCAGAAATATAGACAGGTATTTGAATATATTTCATATATAATAACTGTTTTGATATGAATCATAACACAGGATAGGAAACAATAAGAAAATATGCTACAACGGAAATTAACTCTCTTCCCTTGAAAATAACTAATGGAACAGCCGAAAGCGCTTGGAACAGTAATCACTACAGATAGTTTTTTGACGTTCTTAGTCTTCATAAAAGAAAAAAACAGCAAGTAACCTGATTAAAAAAAAACTTGCTTGCTAATTAATATCCTAATTAAATTTATTTATTTATAATCGTCTCAAAATCTATATTATAAAAGAAAACATGATTTTATGTTCGTCAAACACTGTCTACGTGTGACATTGCCTGTATGCGTGACTTATATGAGCTTGTGACATTTAATGTTTACGCAAGCACACACATATACACTCACACGATTTGACTAAGTTTGAAATAAAATATTGGAATAACACACTCCTCTTCCGCTCAGCCTGGACGAGCTCTGCCCTGGTCTGAGCAATAAAACCATAAAGTGGGCAACAAGAAAAAGCAATTTGAATAAAAATGAAACATTTGCGCTGTGAGGGAAAGAGTATAAGCTGACAAAGGTGGAGGCTTTCTCTTCCTCTCTTGTCGTACTCTCTGCCTCCAGGCGAAGAGGAACTAGACGAGGCTATGTTGAAGGGCAGAGTCTCGTTTGGAGAAGTAGACAAAGCCGAACCTGTGTATACGGAGTCTAAGGGCAATTTTTGTCCGCGTTTACGAGCTCGGAACACCCACGTTAATAACTGGCCTTGTGTCACATCTTGCCTTGCGGGGAGGTTGTAAATAGAGATTATAAGCTGAAAAGTGCGACCCTTTGAAGTTATTTTGTATTTAATTTAAATATATTTTCTAATAAAGGTAGTAACTGAAATGGACAAAATTTTTATATAAAATTTGATCATCATGGCGTCAACAAAGCGACAGATATCAAAATAGTATAACACAATAGTCAATAGTTCTGTTTCTTAGAAGTCATTCGTATGCAAGGAAAGATGGTATCTGATGATAATATAATGTTATTCAATTTTTTTCCAATATTAATTTTTTTTTCATGGAAGTCAATTGGCTTTAAACGAGAATTTAAATCGGATAGTTACGTAATTCGCTCGATGGCTAAAGGCGTATTCATTCGCCATTGCCTCTCAGTAACAGCTGTAGTAGTCATAATAATTTTCTTTTGTTTTCCATGTCATTTTTTATGTTTGTTAAAACCATGTAAGCTTCGAAGCGTTCAGTATAGAATCGTTGTCTCAGTGGGTTCTCATGTCCCTTGCAATGACCCTTCATTCAATCATATTGAAGTGCATCAATAAAGCGATTCAATACTGGCTTGGGGCCAGTACATTCTTGACCCATCATATTAAAACGAGTCTTTCTGATTGGAGGATGCCATTTTCCTATGTCGAGTTTGATGCCATGAAATATGGTATCTACACACCGTAAATATTCGATGGTTCTATCGTTTAGTCGACTGACGTAATTAGTTCGACACACTCAGTGAATATGAACATCGTTTTTTTTTGTTGCCTTAGGCTACAGCCAGACATTTGGTGAACGCATTTACATTGGAGTATGCGTTTGCACTTAATTTCAGAAGGCATCTTTTTGCGTGTTTAAATGGGTACCACTTATAAGTAATATATACATATATATAAATTATTCAATTACATATATAGTTATATATATATTATTCAACTATATATATATATATATATATATATATATATATATATATATATATATATATATATATGTATGTATGTATATAGTTGAATAAATATGTGTGTGTGTGTGTGTGTGTGTGTGTGTGTGTGTGTGTGTGCATTAGGTTTGTAACAGATGAAATGATGCATTTTTTGGTTTGTTGTTGATCCGGTCGTCTAACGAAGTAACCTTCTTAGTATATAAAAAAATCTTGATTTATTCCTGACTTTTTCTTTCCAGATAATTTTTTCTTTTCAATATATTGCTACTCATAAAAATTCTCCCAAAATTCTGCCTTTTCTGAGCGCTTTTGACTTTTATTCTTTTAGCCATTATCAAGGACTATTTTGATTATAGATAGATAGATAGATAGATAGATAGATAGATAGATAGATAGATAGAAGTTTCGTTAAAGACGACTATGTACTTTTTCATGTATTCGCACAAGTGTTTTCTTATCTAGACACAAAGTCTGTAAAAACTGTCCAAATGTGCAGACCGTGTTTCGAAAATAAAACATTCCTATAACTTTAGACATATACATAAAAGAATCCATACACTTAGTTAAAAATCAAAATAGTCCTTGATACACACACACACACACACACACACACACACACACACACATATATATATATATTAATTTAAATAGAAAACAGACAACCCTAATGGACCCTTAAGGTTGTCTGTTTTCTATTTAAATTAATAATTGCTTTGATTTTACATTGAGCTCTCTGGATTATATCCTCCTTGGGATTATCCATACAGATTATCAAACTTTTCATTACTTATCTATCTATCTATCTATCTATCTATCTATCTATCTATCTATCTATCTATTGCCTCAAGTCACTTCTTCACGTTTCTGAAAATTGGCCAGCATTCACTGTCATATAGGAAAAAATTGCTATGTAATAGCAATTCAGCATTCTTTTCTTTGTTTCTAACTATTTTTTTTTCTGTTTTATGTTTTAACCCATAGTTGAAGGAAGCTGAATTCGGTCCTTTTTATAAGTATTAGCGATAAGTGAGCAAAACATATATATATATATATATATATATATATATATATATATATATATATATATATATATATATATATATACCGGATATAACAGCAAAATTGTTCAAATCGTGTAACAGCAGAATTGTCAAATTGTTAGATTAAGATTTGATTGAACAGTTATATCTGAAAAATGATTAAAGATATTTTACCGGAATTCTCCGAGGTTTTTATAACACTATTCGACTTTACTTTGAACAATAAGAATGTATTTAGCTCTAAGTTGAAATGATGATCCCTCTTGCTGTTGTGACATCCTGATCCAGTTTTCCTCTCTATTGATCCGTTTTTAAAACTTATTCACCATTCTCTTAATTGTTCTTGGATGGACTTTGAAGATGGAAGCCAGAGTATGAATGTTGGTAGCTTTACTGAAGGCCTGAATGATATTTTTCGTCTCATCATTGCTCAGTTGGAAAGACATAGTGGAGCTGACACAAACCGATTTTAACCTGTTCTTTTTTTTATCGCTGAATAACTCAAAGGGGTTTTCGGTGATTGTTATGACAAATGGTGTCAAGAACGTCTTATCTGAGTATCTGGAAAAAAGAAACTCATTTAGCTTAGAGTTTTTTTTTTTTTTTAAATATTAACATTTTGTGGGATGGACAATTATCCCATGATGTTAAACGATTTGCCCAATTCTGCTACACCCGGTATATATATATATATATATATATATATATATATATATATATATATAACAGACTATGCGTTCTTTCGCAGAAGCTGTAACTAAGATCCGCTCAATATAGTTGCGGTATAGACCACAGGTGGGCTTTGTGGGTTTTGAATAAACATGTGAACAGGTGTCTGCGACACGGATTAACTAGAGAGTAACCGGTCATTATATATATATATATATATTGAGATTTGCGTTTTAGCATGAAGCAGGGTGTCTCCGCTCGGTGTTGACTTCAATGTCCACTTTTATATTTAAGTAATTCATCGAGTCTAGAAGAAACCTCAACAGAATGCAGAAAGGACTCATCAGCAGTGCATATCCACTACCGAGAATTGAAACCCGAAAAGTTATGATAGGAGTCAAACGCCATACTAACTGTACCAACGGGCCTCGGTGACGAAGAGGTAACGAATATTCCTTGGTGCAAATCCGAGTTTCTCTTTACCCATAGGACTGTGCCTCCACATATATTTGCATACGCTGTATCCCGGATATTGAGCAATTTAACCCATAAATATAACACACCTTAAAACTATGTTTTTATCATTACATATTATAATTATATCATAGTTTTCCGGTGCAGGTCTGACCGATGACGACTGTAAGTTTCCTGCGTGCTATTCACGAATTCTTCAGCTGGTCGATGTTCTGTGGTCTGGGTATTTTATTCCCCATCCGGCTAAGGCGTTATAATAAGGATGGTTGGGGAATACGTATAATCTCATCACTTACTTTTTGTAGGACCAGCGATCATCCCTCCCACTCGGGTAGATTAGGCCCCATAGCGATGTATGCAACTGAGTTCGGTGATGACACAGCTTCGCTGGGCTGAAAGCAGCCGAGACCGAAGTCAATGGAATTAACGGCCACATGTCTGTGACCAAGGCAAGCCTTCAAGGTAGAGGATATCATATAGGCTTCGCTTCGTTTTTGAGTGAATGAATGAATGAAAGAAAAGGCCTCAGTTTTTCAAGCTGATCGAACTGGTAAGGTGTTCTGAACGAAGACCTTATTTTCGCATTCGTCCACGGGACTGATAAACATGACAACACTGATTTAAATATGATTTCTAGAGTGCCTGACAACAGATATAAATGATATGTAGGCGAAACCGTTTTTCTGTATTCTCACAGGAGAGCTTACACTGAAATGGAGAGTAGGTGATTGTCCATTTTTTACTAACATATAAAAATACCCATTATGTGAAATAAGATTATTTTTCTTTCGATGCCTTAGCAGATAATATCATCAATACATTAGGCATGAAAAGGTGTGTAAGTGTGTGTGTGTCTGTGTGTGTGTTGTCGTAGATTAGTTTCCAAATGAGTTCAACTTCTGGAATCTCAGTACTTAAAAAAAAGAAATAAGTCGGTCGACTCGTTTACCAGTCAATTCTGATCTATTTGAAGAAGACCTTTTGATGACAGTTATCGATTTTGTACTTGTACGCCAAGCCTTTGACATATTTTCCTTCGTATAGCTGCATTTTATCAAGAACAATTTTCTTCATCGTTTACACCCGTACCCCAGTATTTATGGTAACATGAGTGAGGGTGGTCGTGCCACGAAGGGAAAAGGCGGAGGCGGAGATGCTCACGTCCTCAGATAGGTTTTCTGCTTCGCTGCACTCGGCGACACACCCTAATCTTCTCAAACTGTAGTGTACCACCTGTCTCCGTTGTCCTGCCAAGTCAGACACACAAGAGCATTATACACAGTTGCACAATTGTCAATCGAGTATTATTTTCGTAAAAGAAGATCTTTCTTTCTCATAATACTCACTATTTCAGTCTATTCATATCTATCTATCTATCTATCTATCTATCTATCTATCTATCTATCTTTCTATATATCTATCTATTTCTGTCTATTCGTATCTATATAACTATCTATTTCAGTCTATTCGTATCTTTCTATCTGTCTACTTCAGTCTATTCATATCTATCTATCTGTTTACTTCAGTCTGTTCATATCTATCTATCTATCTATCTATCTATCTATCTATCTATCTATCTATCTATCTATTTAACCTAAGTTTCGTATGACAATAGCTAATGGAAAGAAACTGACACAGGAAGAGTCAAGCTACGAGCGGCTACCTGCGTTGACAACTATTGTTCATAATCCTCTGATTTTGATTTACGACTTAACTAATGGCAAATTTCTTTCCTATATATATATATATATATATATATATATATATATATATATATATATATAATCCCCCTAGTAGATTTATGCAATAAGAACTTGGCTATCTACTGTGAGGTACTAGTTTGTTTCGTAAGCCATTTCATCGGTCTATTGAGTTCGATTTCAAAGTGTCGCCCTAATGCTATGATCTTGAGCAAAGATTCAGAAAAGCTTAGACGACAACAATACATCACCTTTCTGGGTTTTGTTTTTGGCAATTAGTATATTTGCAAAATGTGTAATACACGTATCTCATGCATATGTATACTTGAGTTTCAAACGACCGGGGTGGTTGAAATGAAATGGTGGTTGGAATAAAAGGGGTGGTGGAAATCTTTTTCTATAATTTCTAAAATAATTTTCAGAAATGAAACACTTTGTCTTAAAATGATTGCAGCATAAATTGTGGAGTGGTAGGAAATTTCTTCGATATTTAATATAAGGGGCAGTAGGAATAAGGGCATCCCGGATGGAATTTTCTCACCCCGCCAAAAAGGAAAAGATGAATACTCATTCCAGCTACTTGAAAGTCAAAGACATATATTCTTCGAACATTGGTATAAGGCTGCATTTCTCGGCTTTTCTTTTACGACGAATTCTAATTTCAATGGCTAGTGACATAAGCGTTCTAACCTTCTCTCTCAGTTTCATCATTTTTACATTCTCTATTTTACACCCGCTTCATTGATTGATATATCTCGGTCTGTTCATATCTATCTATCTATCTATCTATCTATCTATCTATCTATCTATCTATCTATCTATCTATCTAATTGTTGTTCGTGTCAGAGTGCGTTTATATTTCGTGTGTGTGCCTTAATTGTTTTGATACAATGTCTCCAAGTATCAATTGTCTGCTGCCATTTGTGTGTAATGGCGCGATTTCTCACGCATATGCCTCCTTTTGCTAACACGCTGATTTCTAATTAGTCGGAATATTAATTATAAGGATTCAGGTAAAGAGAAATAGTAATATGCCTTAACCAGGAGAAAGAAACGAAGGTATGATGAATATCAATATATATATATATATATATATATATATATATATATATATATATATATATATATATATATATATATAAGGATGGTTGGGGAATATATATATATACACTATATATATGTACATATGTATTACACACTATATATATATATATATATATATATATATAATGTTGTTTTTTGATTATTAATGCATCTCCAACATTAATAATAAAAACAGCATTAAATACTTACAACGGGCAGACTCTCTTGCAGATTGACTTGTCACCTGTCGAAACTCAGTACACGCCGTGCACATATAAACCAGCACCTCACGAACGACCAAAATATAACTATCAACATAAAATAAATATAAGTAGATTACACCAAAATACTGCACCCAATGCAGGAAAAGAATCAAAAACACTAGAAGCTATTATTATACAAAATAAGCAGCCCACATTAAATAAAATACCATTCACTACAGGAGACGTTATCTTGAAGTACATATGATATAATTAATCTGTGCACATATTATATTAATATAAGAAAAGTACAAATAAAAAATATAATAAAATAAAAAAAATATGAATAATAATAAAATAAATGAATCGAATTCATTTTGTGCAGCTTCGTTTCTTATAACCGTTACATATCACGTCACCGGAGACAGTATCAAACTTGAAGTTTTCCAAAGAATACCAGGATGTAGACAAATTAATTTTAACCACCACACAGACACGCATTGATTCTTGAAAATGTCTCCGATGGCCGAAAGTAGTTGAACATAACAGCAACAAAATATGAACTTTAGACAGTTTATCCACAACTTCGAGCACAATAGTCAATACATTATATGAAAATTGGAAAAATACAATAAAAAAAATTAAGCAGACAGACATGTTTTGTTAATCAAACTAGTTTATATATATATATATATATATAGAGAGAGAGAGAGGGAGAGGGAGAGAGAGAGAGAGTTTATATATATATATATATATATATATATATAAGTATCTGAACAGATTCGCAAAAAAAAATAAAAAAAAAAAATAAAAAAAATATGCATACCATGATGAAAAAAATGTCCCAAACTTAATAAGAAAAAAGTTTTATCGTCAAAATCTTTATCTTATTATTAAGAGGAAAGACCAAAGGATTTTTTTATTATCAAATTATATTTTGGTATCTGTTTTAGAAAGTTCAAAAGTTTTGGTCAAAATCTTGTTTTTCTTGCCAGTTACATCAAAGATTAGTATAGAGCATTTTAGCGTCTCTTATTTTGCGGTGAAAAACAGATTGATTTGTGAATTCTTGCAAAAATCAGAAACTTTAAAAACTTATTCACAAAGGAATAATAAGAAAAACAAAACATTTTTTACATCTGTTACCTCCACTTATTTAATTTTATGAAGAAAAATTAATTCTTTTACCTTGATGTTTATATTGGTTATACAAAAAACTTCGTGGGGAATTTAAACCAGCAGTCTTTTTTTTTTAAAAACAGGACCCCCAGTTACCAAAAATATACCCCGAATCGTAAAATAAAAAAATTCGAGAAAACTAAGACATTATTTTATTAGAAAATCTTTTAATTGCTTTTACGAATAAAAATATATTATAGACATTATTGTCTTAAGAAAATTTTCCCTGATGAATATTAAATTTTTACAAGGATTGTTTTCATTTTTTAAAAAGCTTACTAACAATTCAACCACTCTGCTCCAATATTTTAAAAAGAATTTTTTATTTTTTTTTTTTGAGGCGGGGGTGTATAAACGTGTCAATTTTTGTAACTACAGACGTCAACACATGGCATTATCAGAAAATAACGGCGTTAACTATAATAAATTTACCTAAAATTCAGTTAAATGTTAGATTACAGAGACTATTTTCCTACATTTTTAAGATTACTGGTTAGTCAAAAATAATATGAAAAAGGCGCGCGTTATATTCCTGTATATATATATATATATATATATATATATAAGTAATTTTTACAATATGTCGTCCGTAGAAAAGAATTAGTTGAACTTCCAGCTGTCAGTCAAGCTGTCAGCCTATCAACATCTGAAACAAACAATTACGCCCATATTAAAAACTGCAATATTTTAAAATAAAAGTATGCAATATTTGTTTCAAATCAGCTTAATTAAACTTTAAATCAGCTAATATTCCTCAGTTAAAGTTTCAGTAACATATATTTTATTATTTTTTTAATAAAGGGAATTACATTTTGCCGACAGATGGCTAAAATGGCACTAAAATCAATGATTTTATCGAATAAAAAACACGTCAATTTAAATTAGTTTTGAAATAGTAAAGCATATTGCTTATTGGATATATTAAGATGTATCTATTAGCTTGTGATTAAAACTAAAATAAAAGGTTGAAGAAGATTTTGCATTAAAAAATAATTTTAAACGTTAGATATCATGTTTCTGTTCAATAACGGACGCACAGACCAACACACATATATAAGTATACGTCTTACCAGTTTATGATCGGAAGGGATAATTCTGAGGAGGATATAAATCCAGGGAGAGCACAATGTAGACTACAGAGCATTATAATGATAAGAAGACGCAGATTTATGGAGGAGATTTCGATCTGAAGAGTTGAGCATCACAGTGTTCACGAAATAAATTTATAATCGAAAAAGTCTCTGTCTTCTTCTTATCATTATATATATACATATATATATATATATGTATATATATATATATATATATATATATATGTAGTAGCAGAAAGAGAGAGAGATAAAGTGAGTGTTGCAAGTCTGCAGAAAAATAACCAATATATAAATAAAAATAAACAAAAACAAAAAGAGCAAAAGATTTATCATCTCTAGAAATAGATATTAAAAACCGCCAACGCCTGGCATCGCTATATAATGATGACTTTATAGATTTTGTAAATAACGCTTTTATAAATAAAAGAATATTTTAATTTATTTCTACGTTTAAAAGTGACGGAATTCGTTAAGAGATTTTGTAAGTTAATTGTATTTATCAATTATTAAAATTTTATGTTATTCTGTCTTTTCCTGACCATGTTTAAGGTATTTACCCAACCTCCTCACAAGGCAGAATGTGGCACAAGGTCAGTTTTTAACGTGGGACGTTTCGAGCCCGTAGGCTCGGACAAAAATTTCCCGTAGACCCCGTATATACACGGGATCGGGTTTGTCTACCTCCCCAGAAGCGATTCTGCCCTTCGGCATATTCTCGTCTGGGTTTCTCTTCGCCCGGAGAAAACCTTTATGTTTATATTTATTGCACATGAGTATAAATAGGGCACAAGGCCAAAAATGGGAAAAGGAGTAGACTGGTCATCATCTGTCTTATATTAAAATTTCGCTAGTCACAATCATTGACCCAGACTTGCTACAATAACCCTTGCGCCAAAACGCCACATTCTAACAATATTCACCATAATAACTCACTGACTCTATGAAGTCATAACTTTTCCCAATATGTATAATGTTGCCTATGGGGGTGGGGAATACAAAAACAACTTCTGAAAATCTATTAACCCCAATGAATATTTACAACGATAAACAAAATTTATTTACAAGAAACAAAACAAAACAGTATTAGTAATACCTCAACACAATCACTAAATGTGGCAGAGACATCAGTTAATCCGGACGAAATTAACGCGGAATTTAAATAATGTAAAAAAAAAAAAAAGAAAAGAAAAATAAAGCACTCAGTCAACTTAACACTCACAGAAACACACCCTCAACCAAACACGAAAAATCACACCCGAAAAGCGAAAGGCATCCCGCATATACCAGATAACTGAAATCTCTGGTCATCTAAGAGGAGGGAATTAAACACAGAAAGTTGGGAGCAAAATAAAAGGGGCCAATAAACATTCATACCCTAGCTAAGTTAACTTGTATGAAAAAAAAACCCTAAAGAAAACACAAACCTAAACGAATCTATTTCGGGCGGGGGGGTGCCTATGTTAAATCCAGCAATTGCAAAATCCTTAATGTCTAACGGGCATCAAAATGCCACTCCAATTCAGCACCTTTCACTCGACACAAACGCGCAAGACTCACCCACATTTTGCCAAATTCCGATGGATGGAGTCCTTATAAAGAAAATTAAACTTATATTTATCAAGTTTATGTTATTCCTTCAAAGTCACCAAAAGAGTCAACTATAGAGATATGGACAAAGACGCCCCGAAAAGAGCTCACTATAGAGAAACAGGCAAATACGTCACCTTAAGAATCCACTATAACGAAATGAGAAATGTGAAAATACGTCACAAAAGAGTCCACTACAGTGAAATGGACAAATACGTCACCTGAAGTATCCAAGATAGCGAATTAGACAAATAAATCAATAAATGAGTCCGCTATAAGAGCAAATGCGTAATCATAAAGATCCATAATGGAGAAATGGGCAAATACATCACGAAAAGAGTCCCCTATATAGAATTGGGCAAAAACGTCACCGAAAGACACCACTATAGATAAATAGGCAAATACGTCACCCGAAGAAAATACTATAAAAAAATAAGCAAATATGTCTCCAAACGTTTTCATTATTGGGAAATGCGCAAATACGTAACCAAAAGAGTCCACGATATTTATTGCATATAAAAATACAATTATGACACAAGGCCGAAAAAGGGGAAGGCTGGTCAATACTATCTTGTACATAGCTAATCTCATTCACGACCCATTTACTCATACAATTTGTACATTCACTACAAAAACTTGTCCGTCACCAATCAATCCTCCATACACCATAACACCGCATCCTCTCAAGGGGACCTACAAAAACGCACCCAATGAACCAAAAGAGTCCACTATAGAGAAATACGTCACCAGAAGTGTCCATTATATAGAAAAGGGAAAATACGTTACAAGAAGAGTCCACTATAGTGAAACAGGTGAATACGTTATCTATCCACTATTGAGAAAAGGGCAAGCAAATACGTCACAAGAAGAGGCCATTATAGTGAAACAGGTGAATACGTTATCTATCCACTATTGAGAAAAGAGTAAATACGTCACCAGAAGAGGCCATTATAGTTCCGTACTCCTTAGTCTGAAAAATTCCAGACATTATCAGGTTATACTTAATTTTAAAAACAATAAGAAGAATTGAAGTATGTAAATACAGTAATGAGAAAGAACAGTAGATTATGATGTAGTTAGAAATATTTTACTTCTGATGATCGGAGGCGGTTGGTCAAACCTTGACAAGGAGGCCTTATTTTTTTTATGTTTCTCTTTTTCTCTCCTGCCCCGTGATCGACACAAAACAAAGGTAATGAATAAAAAAAGTAAAACAAATAAAAAAAATATCGTTTATTTTCATTGCTTAACAACAGAGAAAAACAGACAAGCCAGTTAATAGACGCGAACAGATATTTTTATCGCATAATACTTGTTAATTTGAAAAACATTGCTATAGTACAGCATATCAAAGGCACTTCCTTTCGGCTAACATTGCACAAAAGTCTATTAAAGGAACACGACTAAGGTTAAATCAGTTCAAAAAACGGGTGTGCAGTCAGCAGTTCCGAGTCCTGCAAGTACACCCCATCACTTCCTGGCTGCTATTCACTCACACTTTCTACTATGTGGTTATGCACACACACACACACACACACACACACACACACACACACACACACACACACACACACACACACACACACACGTACGCGCACAGGTGTCGTACATACATATACAAACATACTATAGATATGAATTAAAATTTTGTGCAAATATATATATATATATATCGTTATGATCAAAATCTAAAAAAATATATTTAATTGTAAAAAAATATATATAGCTAAAGAATTGATGGATTTATTTTTAATCCGCTTTCTGTGGGTAAGTGGAACCAAATTGAACCGTGGCGAGATCCGTGGGCAAGAGGTTTAAAGCACGCGGGATCAAATGGTAGTTTTTTCTAACCCCCGCCGAAGTGGGGATAGGTCAAATTTTCTTTATTACGTTTTGACGACTGTGCAGGCCGATAGACTGTTTAAAATAAATAAATAAAACAGGGCGTCTATTTCAAATAAGGGTGTCCACTAAAAATAACACTTGAAGTAATGTTGCTTGCTTATATATTGTGTATATATGTTTGTGTGTGTATAGAAGAAGATACTTGTGTGTGTTTATAAAAGCGTATATTTATGAATGAATTTCTGGGATGTGAGTTTTCATTATTTCACTTATTGTCCTAATCTTTAGTGCTGTTATCACAACGTTTCGGGCGTTGTGCTCAGTGGCCTTCATCAGGTTCTTGCCCATCCGTGTAATCTTCAAAGAATTTCGAACAGAAAGCTTTATTTAATGTTTGAGAGCAAAATGTTCACGTCCCGCTGACTATGTCTGGGGATATTGCGTCTATTTATTTAATACATTCAACTATATCTATCTATCTATCTATCTATCTATCTATCTATCTATCTATCTATCTATCTATCTATCTAACTAATAAATTTTGGTATGTAATCCCGATAGAGTTATAAATTACTGACATTTGGAAAAACGTTTATCAAAGTATGTTTCAAAAATAATATTCGATAAGGCATTTCCCCTATGAGGCTTCATTAGATGGATAATGAAAAATGTGTGTGTGTTTGTATGCATTTGTGTTTGTTTAAAATAAGTAAATCTTACATTATTTTTCCCAAGTTGCTCGAGACTAAAAAATATAAAATTTTAAACGGTTTTTAAAAGTCAATCATTTTCTTTCTCTTTTTTTGTTCACTTTTCCTAATATATATATATATATATATATATATATATATATATATATATATATATATATATATAATCGTTCATATATTTCAGCCTTTACCACTCTTTTTAACTCTGTTTTTACTAGTCTCAGTAGATATAGCGATTTTCACATGACACAAGGCCGAGGTGCCCCCCTCTCTCTCTCTCTCTCTCTCTCTCTCTGTGTGTGTGTGTGTGTGTGTGTGTGTGTGTGTGTGTGTGTGTGTGTATGGATAGCGGCTTGGATTGAGGAATCGGAGAGCCGAGTTCGAATTCCAGTCGAATCCATTACATTCAATTACGTCCTAATACCCTTGGGAAAGGTTTGAATCCTATTCTACCTCCAGCTATGGGTAAATAGTAGGACAGACTGGGTTCTATAGCCTTGGATGGCAACCAATCTAGAAGGGCAACCCTGAAATCAAAACGTGCGGAGGGTCGTTTGGGGACCTTGTGGCAATTAGTGCACCAGGTCTCTGTATTCGTCCCTTCTAAAAGTGTGGATGGTCCTGCACGAAACCGTCACCACTATAATCAAATCTCATGTGCTGTTGTCGGGCTGTCGGTTTCATAGGAACTGATCTGCTTTACCTTCATACGTCGAATTTGACGGGAGAGTCGAGTATATATATATATATTTAAAAATATAAAAAGCAGATTTAGAAACTTTATTAACAACAAATAGCAAGAGACACATTACTGCATAGGGAAAGATTCAAATTTTATTTTTTTAAGGTTACACTTCGCAAATTGCCGTACACAAAACGACTTTTCTTGTGGTGTAGCCATTTTAAGGATTAACACAAATTATAACAATTTAAAATTATACCAAATCTGAAAAAATCAACAACAACAACAAAAGAAGCATTTAAACAAGTTTGAAAACCTGAAATTTATTTTAACAACTTTGAACATTTTCCTTTCCAGTAATCTGTTGAATGTGTTTCTGTCTCTTAGCATTAGTTTTTATGAAATTTTAGAAATCTTCTATTCTTGAATAACCCTCACCCTCCCTCTCTCTCTCTCTCTCTCTCTCTCTATATATATATATATATATATATATATATATATATATATATATTTTCGCTCACATAGCGCTAATACTTTTAAAAAAAGGCCCGAATTCACCTTCCTTGAGCTATGAACATAAAAACAGAAAAAATGAGTGCTGAATTACTATGTAATAGCAATTTTCCTATCGGACAGTGAATGCGGGCCAATTTTCAGAAAGGTGAAGAGGTGGCTTGAGGCAACAGATATATATAGAGAGATTTATATATATATATATATATATATATATATATATATATATATATATATATATATATATAGAGAGAGAGAGAGAGAGAGAGATATGTAAGTCTGTTAATATCTATTTATCTACTTTTGTAATCAGGTGTATTTTATTGAGGATCTTGTTCGCAAGTATGCGTACAATTAAATATGTGAATTATATATATATATATATATATATATATATATATATATATACATATACGTGCGCGCGCGTGTGTGTGTCTGTGTGTGTGTGTGTGCGAACGAGCGCTCTGTTGCTTTCTGTCGTAGCAATGATGCATGTCCTGTAAACCCGAATCCAAAAATAATCCGGACCCTATTGTATGTACATTTAACATCAAATGTTGCGTTTTCTATATTCCTGGTGGTCTTTGGCTAGGAAACACCAGGCAACCGTAAAACAGTTTCTTACTCGGGTCTTGCACTTTGCTCCCCTGTTAACCAGACCCTCACTCCAACCCAACCCCACTTCCATCTACATATCTTTTAATTCATTTCCTTTTTGTTGTTCTTAGATATATTTTTTTATATAATTTTATCAAGGTGGGCTCATATGTTTTACATTGGCAATGATGCCCGCCTACGATTCCCGTTTCTTTTTTTTATTCATATATAAAGCGGTATCATGAAAAGAAATATTAGTGAATAACTAACTAACCATGTAGAATAACGATATATAGGGACATAGGCACAAGCTTTCTTCGCTTATAGGAATCGTATACAGATTCAAGCTAACATAAAATACAATCACACACAAGCATGACAATACACGCATTTACCAATCAAGTGTGCACGGGCACGTTCTGCAAGCTTTGCTATGTCTATCCGAGCCAGTTCATCTCTTTTCTCTCTCTCACTCTCTCTCTCCATCTTCATATATATATATATATATATATATGTGTGTGTGTGTGTGTGTGTGTCGTCACGCACTCACGTGCATACCTCGGCGCATGTTAGGAATTCGGCACAGGTCTTTCTTTGTATAAGTTCACTTATAGAAGAGAGCTCAGACATAGGCAAACAATCGCGTACATGAAGTCAAGCTAATATAAATGTATTCACGCACAAGATTGCCAATATGCACGCACATACGAATCAAGTAGACAGAAAAGAGGCACTTTGTGTTCTTCATCTTTTCTTTTATATATATATATATATATATATATATATATATATATATATATATATATATTATTTCAATCGTTATTATAGTGGATATTCGTGTTGAAATAGACGCCCCACTACACACGCACACATATATATATTAATATGAAACTCTGGAACCAATCAATTAGATGCTCATTGAACATTTATTGATTTAATACACACGTTTATTGATTTAATGTATTATTATTATTATTATTGTTGTTGTTGTTCTTCTTCTTCTACATCTACTGCTTCTTCTTCTTCTTCTTCTTCTACATCTTCTTCTTCTTCTTCTTCATGCTCTGTCTCTTCTTCTTCTTAGCGACCACAATTCCCTGTCCCTTTTCATCTCTGCCAACCGTTTGTTAACTCATAACGTAGGTTATACGCTGCTCTGTCCCTCTTGCCTTTAATGTCATGTGAGTGTAAAAATTTCCAAGCTCTCTTCCCTCATTATAGGTGTATATAGGTCCGCCTACTGCCCGGTTCACACCTCTTTACGGTCTTTTGAACAGGACTAGAGATTTATGTCCTGTTTCCTGTTTAGTATTGGGTTTCCGGTTCCTTCTAAAGTCTTTTCATTTTGTCTCACTCTAGTTAGCCCACTTGCGTCTTAGTGGCTCTATCGCCTTGCTTGGGGTGAATTGATAAAAAATGTGCCTTAGAAATGTCAACTGACTCTTTCTTATTCTAAGTCAGTGCTACTCAAAGTGTGGTATGTGTACCGATGCTGTTACGCGAGGAATCGTCTACCGGTACGTGGAGAGTTTCCAGGAAACAAACAAACAGTAGTCATATTGCACGCCACGGGAGACTGCCGGGATATCTTACTCTGTTTTTTTAACATTTTTATTTTAGTTTTATACTGATGATGTTTACACTTTTCAATTACTCATATAAAGGGCCATTGCTATACGACTAACGAATGTAATATAATAAACAGCAAAACAGTGAACTAAAATACGTATGACAACACTATCTTGATGTTATGGCGTGTGACTATGTGGGAACTACGCCTAGGAAAATCAAAAGGCCCTTTTCATAGACATATATTTATACAAAATCAATATAAAATAAAAACTGATACAGTTTTTATTATACTAAATATATATTTCAGGTACAAATGAATAATACAACGAATGTTTAAATAATATTTTCTTGGATCATTATTATATATAGCACAGATATGGAAAGACTTGATACGTCAATAATGACTGATCTGAGAATGAATAAGACATCATTTAGTACAGATGGTCTTAAAATGACCCTGAAATAAGACATATTTAAAAAAAAAAAAATTGGGAGGAAGCCAGCTGATTGGAAACCTTTGCCCGCCCGTCCCTCTCACATTTACAAAAAATAACTGCCAGTACGCCATATCAGATAGTTTGAGGAACAGTGTTCGAAGTATAAATATCCTTTTTGTTTCCATTTTTTTTCTAAAACTTTTCAGTCTATGACCTCTATCTATTCCTCAAGTAGACCTAACTCAGTTTCGTAAATATCAATATTTGAAGATGCGAGCAGCAGATATAACAGTTACACTTTCAACCTTCGTCAGGTTGGTAACAGCAGTAAAAACAAAAATAGAAAGATCTTTATCAATAAAACTTACAAAACAACAACGATATTAAGCGTGAACGCATTGAGAAAAATGACTGGGTAACAAAAACGTTAATTGATTTGAAAGAAAATGACCCATATGAGGAAAGTAACCAAATGTTGCCAAGGCCAATATCATATTTTTTGTTTCATGAAAAGAAACTTTTGTAAAGTGTTTCTCGTTTGCTAAAAAGAGAAAAATTAATGATATCGAATGAAATAAGGAATAAGATGAAACAAGATCATTTAAGTTTCAGATTTCAATTAAGGAAGGTTATTTAACATTTACAATGTGCAAAAAAATAACTTTCTGTACGCATGATGCCGCACGTTTTAATGATTTGTTCTTTCTGGACGTTGGCGATCATGGCTCTCCATAGTTTCCGTTTCTTTATTATGAATTGCCATGATTAATTAAAAAAAATATTTGAGTGGTTTGCGTTGTCTCGTCCACGGTTTTGAATTTAACATTTTCTTTTCCTAAACTGGCTGTATCCAAGGGAGAGAACTCAGTTTATTCGGTTATTTAACCCATAGCGGACGAGATGAGATGGAATCATTTTTTTGTGTGCAAATGTAAATGCAACAGTTCAGACAGGAATTTGAACACAGTGTCTTTATTTCACTTTCCGCGTCTGCTAACCACTACGCTACCCTCACGTAAACCAA